CAAACAATTGACCGTTAATGGTTGTATAGATTAATAAAAAAAATTGTTATATATATATATATATATATATATATATATATACACACACACACACACCAAATTCATTCACTTGTTTCTTTTCTCTATACATTTTATAAAATTTCAATACTTCACAATTAAAAAAATGGATTCGTTCGACCCGTGTAACGATGATGATGTTAAGGATGATATGTTCGTCTCTATGATGTACAAGTATTACATGAATGTGCTACTACAACTAGATTCAGATCCTCTATTAACCAGATGTGCGACGTTAAACAGAGATCACAAAGAACAGCACAAACATCTAGTTCACAATTATTTTGCGGATATTTGTGTCTACCAGCCGCGCGATTTCAAAAGAAGGTTTTGTTTGCGAAAAACTATTTTTTTACGGATAGACAACGCCTTGGAAAGTAGGTATTGTTTCTTTCAAGTTTTGTAATTTATAAATATAGCTTTTATATAATTTAAATACATTTTTTTACAGATTAAATATACGTTTAGGTATGAATTTTTCCAAATGAGATTTGGAAAGCAGGTATTGTTTCTTTCAAGTTTTGTAATTTATAAATATAGCTTTTATATAATTTAAATACATTTTTACATATTAAATATACGTTTAGGTATGATTTTTTTCAAATGAGATATGATGCTAGAGGTAAGCGAGAATTCACATGGTTGCAGAAATGTGTTGCCGCAATTAAACTTATAACTGTAGGGGATTCGTCTGATTTGATTGACGGTTATATGAGAATGTCTAAGAAAACTGCAAGAGAAAGTTTGTATAGATTAGCAAGAGGTGTTGTCAAAAACATCAGTGACGTTTATTTGCGCAAACCTTCGTTGAATGATATTCAACAACTATATGTGGCACATGAAGAAAGACATAGTTTTCCAGGTATGCTTGGAAGCATTTATTGCATACACTGGAACTGGAGAAATTGTCACGCGGGGTAGTAAGGCCAGTATGCGAGTGGTCATCATGGAACGCCTTCGATGGTATTAGAGGTTGTTGCTTCCCAAGATTTATAGATTTGGCATGCTTTTTTCGGGGTTGCGGGTTCCAACAACGACACCAACGTTCTTGATCAGTCAATAATCGACATATTTTGTCAGGAAAGGCATCGGATGCTCCTTTCACAGTGAATGAAAATGAATATAAATTTGGGTATTACCTTACAGGTGGAATATATCAAGCATATTCTACATTTGTGAAGGCGTTTCAACACATAGTAAAACCAAGAGACAAATTTTCAAGAGAAGACAAGAAATGAGCATGTAAGGACGTGGAACGTGCTTTTGGAGTTCTAAAGTCGAAATGGTACATAGTTCAACATGCGACACGACCATATTAGTTAGACATTCTACAAGATATTATATATGCATGTATCATAATGCATAACATGGTGATTGAAGATAAATGACGAAATATTGCGGAGTATTCGGCTTTGGAGCTCAGACACGTGCAATTTCAACCAGGGACAACGAAATATTAAATAGAGTCGTTGATATATAAGACACACGAAAACACGGGCAACTTCGAGAAGACTTGACTGATTATATGTACTATGGTAACGAAGATGAATAATTTAAGGGAAAAAATGTAATTTTTTTTGTTTTTAAATGTTATTTGTTCTTTGTTGTAATGCTTTTTTTTTAGATTTTTAAATGTTATGTTTAATTAAAAAATTAGGTTTTATTTAAATAACATGTATGCTTTATTCAATTAAGTTTGTTTTTATATATAATAAAAAATAAATCAAAAATACAAATAAAAGAAATGATGACATAGAATTTAATGAGTGTTATAACATGTTGCTCATTTCCTTACTTGACATTATAACACCATGGGGTGACATAACATGTGAGGTGACAAATTTTGGATGTGATAACACACATTAACATGTTGCCCACACCGACTAATCTAACATAGTTACCAATTGCAATAACTTACCACCGTCTGACGGCACACACCACCACTTCTGATGGAAACGCTAACTTTCCAGCAAACTCAGTGTGAAATGGATGTCGCCTATTGGTGGTGCTCGTCGCTTTCTGCGGCGAATAAGTGGATGTAGGTGCGGAGTTGCATACGTGTTTGAGTGAAGCTTTCCTCCCAGTTGAGTCTTTGTCGCCGTGAAGGAAAACGTGTTTGGAGATAGAAACGTTGTTGTATCATAGGTATATTCTTTATTTTCATTGATTCAGTTTCGTTATTGGAAATTAGGTTTATTCCATAGAATTGAATTTACTTGGGCTTTGGGCTTCTAATCGAATTACTTGAAGGACACATCTAAATGGCTCTAATATAAAAATTCAATAATGTTTAGCTTCATATAATTACTTTCAGTTTAATTCGGCAAACAAACATTATAGGGATGATGAGTGTATTAATACACAAAGGTATAATTTGTTTTACCTATTAGTTATATAAATTCATCATAAGCTATACGATGTAGTTATTAGACAAAAATTGGGTTTCAGGTCAGGGTTCGGGGACGATTTTTAGCCCCGATAAAATATCGGCCGGCGATGGGAACAATTTTCAGTTTCGGGTTCGGGGATGGGATTGTCTGCCCGACTGCCCCCATTGTTATTCCTAATTTAAACAGGGGATTAACATACGATTAATATAATATCATGGACAACGGATCCGCCAGTTGACTTTCGGTCAACGGTCAATGTGCACTTCACTTGACTTCCGGACCGGATCCCTCGCTGGGTTTTAATAAATCATATAAAATGTCCATTCTTCAACAAGACAAACAAAAGTTATAGACTAAAACTAAACCGCTAAAATAAGAAAATATATATTGTTATTGCTGTATACTTCCTAAAAAGAGAATTATGAAAAAATATATATATATTGATTCACATCACGTGGGTTACAAAAGATTGAACCTAGACGAGAAAACATCCGCGTTCATTGACACCAACATGACTACATTCATTCATGCGAGCGTATATATAACCCCTTGTAAATGCACCATATTGTCATCATCCTTACGCCTTCTTTCTTCATTAGTTTTTCTTCGGTCTAAAGTGATTTGTTTTATCACATTTCGAGTCTTTAGTTCTTATATTAGTCACGGAATCAGCGAGTTTTGACCAATAAGTGTTGAATATTTGAAAAATGGGAAGATTTCGAAGAGTCGCGGAGGCGTTTGACGTGGCCGCCATGGTGAGAGATTGCGACAGCAGCGGCAGCGAACACTCGACAGAGATGATGAAAGATTTGTCTGATTTGGTCAACTCGTTTATCGAGAATGGAGATGGCGTTGTGGATTCAGATTTTGATATGAGAATTAACGATGAATGTAATTCTGATATAACTGATGATCATATGGAAGAAACGAAGGAATCACTCAAGACATTGTTTCGATCTAAAAAGGGTGATGCTGACCATGCTGTTAGAAAAAATCTTCTTTTGAACGTTGAGAGAGCATGGCGGCGCGTGACGGAAGATAACTCAGCGCCACCGATGCCAGGATCTAAACGGCTATTAATGGCTCGCCTCCGTGATCAGGGTCTTGACGCCGGTAATATTTTCATTCGATTTTTAACATCTTTGTATATTATATATAACTATATAATAATGATAAGTTGATAACAATCAATGTCATGTATATATTCAGGTCTTTGCAAATCCAAGTGGGAAAAGAAAGGGCGGCTTATCTCCGGTGAATACCAATACGTCGACATTAATGTCGCCGGAACTCGTTACATAGTCACCATATCTCTCTCAGAAGAATTCGAGACAGCCCGACCTACTGATAATTACACTTCTTTGCTCGAGATTCTCCCTCAAATTTCAGTTTGCAAAGTGGAGGAGATGAAAGAGGTGGTGAGAATAATGTGCAGAGCCGTTAAGAAGACGATGAACCAAAGAAAAATGGCGGTGCCACCATGGAAGAGAAGAGAGTATGTCCAAGCTAAATGGTTTGGTGCTTACAAACGAACCACCAATGAGTTGTCTACTAAAAACACGACAGATTTGAATGTAAATGAGAAGAAAATCGAAGGGTTTACATGGACGCCAGAAGCTTTTTATTGTAGACGCACAGAAGATTTTGGAAGGAAGGGATTTGGGTTGAGAATGGGTAATTTGACCATGGCTATGAATGGAGCAAGCTAAGATATTTTTTGTGGATATTTGCAAAATCTTTAGTTTTATTAAGTAATTGTTTGCTATAGAATCGATTCTTGAGAATGTTTTGGGGCATTTTCATTTGGATAATCTCATTGTAAATCCATTTTTAGTTATTTTAAATGTACAAAGACGTTCGTATTTTATATATTTCGTTCAAATGAATAGTTCTGCTTATTCATTGAGTACTTATTTATTGGATTCTTTTACACTGTATTCTCAAGTTTTTTTTAGGAGAGAAAGGGGAGGAAATGAGAGGATTAAGAGGGAAAAGAGTCTTCTCAAGTTTTATTTAGGAGAGAAAGGAAAGTGAAGGAGAGGATTAGGAAGAAGGAAAAATGTTATGTTATTATAGCTTATTTTTGTGGGATTAGAAAGGAAAGAAAAAAAAAAGACTGGTTTTACCCTTGGTCATTTAATGCTACAAACTTCCTTCAAGAGTATATTTGTCATTTGACAATGATTTTCGTTTCCCGCTTTATCTCCTCCCCTTTTTCCTTCCATATTTTTTCTTTTCTTTCCCTTCCTTTTCATTTCATTTCCCCTCCTTAATTTTTAATCTTGAGAACACAATATTAAGAATGCATAATTAAATACTGTGTTTTTAATTTCAAGAAGTTTCTAAATTCGAATTCCATACCTACAAATTAAATTGTTTGATGAATTAGCCATAGTAGAGGGTCGTAATAAAAATTTCCCATGTTTGAATATACAATATTAGCGAGCAAACTAGAATGGAAGTCATGAATTAATCTATATTTACAAATGCTTAATTCATGAAACACAAAGGCTGAGTATTGAGTCCTCTGAAAAATCTATGCCTAATAATTCTAATAATGTAAATAATGTCTATCTAATACACATCTCAGTTGGATGTGGAGGTATGCTCACAAATGTTGCGGGAATCTTGAAACAATTCCTTATGTAAACATTGCTGCTATATATTTGATAGCGAGAAGGCATATGCATGACACGTACTTGATCTTTGACAACTTGTTTGTGCGCAAAATGGATATCAATTTCGATATCTTTTGTGCTTTGATGTTGAACCAGATTACAAGAAAAAAGGATAGCACTGGCATTATCGCAATAAACAACATGGCCTTAGTATTATGTAGAGACTATTCGAGTAGTAAATTGCAAATTCAACATGTTTAAAGAACAATGTTTGCAACTTCGCAGTAATCAACATTTTGGACGACTATGATATAAAGTTGTCGTCTCCAAGAAAAAACACAACATCTAAAAGAAAATGAGATTTGTGTCCGGACAACCAGCTGGCACCGGTGTAGGCAATAATTAGACGAGAAGATCGATATTTGTATAAGGTGATGCCATAATCTACTTCATCACAATATAGATGAAGAAGTGTAAAAACTTCATAAATTAATTTGTTTGAGTATAAATGTTTGGGAGAGTTTGTTCGGTTTTTGGATATGAGAAATTTCACAGCCGTATGTTTATGTTTGGAATGCGTCTTGAAAAAATTCCATATGCGATGATGGTTTCTTTTAATAAGAAATCTACTCGACAAAGTCGAAAGAGAAATTAAATATTCTCATACATTTTCTTCCTACTTGTATTCATACTTATGTGAAATGGTGACATGTGTCATATTTAAATAAGATTAATAATATTTGAATATATTTGTCATCATTTCAAATGAGTAAGAATTTATGTAGGAAGGAAAGTAGAAAGATATTTAATTTCTCAAGTCGAAATATATCTTATTTATAACCAACTTAGATCAATCATATAGGATTTATTTCATAAATGAAAACCAAATTTCATAAAATATAATATATCTTATATGTTCATTATTTATTTATTTTGAACTTTGAATCCATGTTATAATATGTTATAATAAAAAAACATTTACATTGACGTCATTTTCTTAGTATTATTTTTTGTTCATTTAATATAAATCCTAAATTTTAAGGAGTTTAAAATTGAATGACATATTTTTTTTCCATATATTCTTCGTATAAACATTTATTTTCTTGTTATTTTTGTAATGGTTTTAAATTCACTTGATATAAACTCTTAAATTTAAAGAGTTTAATACTGAACAACAATTTGTTTTCGGTACTACACAGGTTTGTAACCTTGTATATTATAAACAAGCGTTAACAAGAAGCGAGGAGAAATTGCAAAATAGACATATTAACTAGATTTTTAACCCAGTCAACCTAAGTCATAACGATTTTCCGGTTCTTAATTTTTAGCAACGAAAAAGAATGATCTCAAAATACGTGTTTGTTGTACTTCTTTCCCATGAAAACGACATCATTTCTATAATAGCACAACACCAATAAGGTAGTACAAGTTATCGATTCCACCATCGCCTTCTTTTTAGTATGCAGCACCAAATCATCTACCCATAAGAACATGTTAATGTTAATCTCGGCCATCGGTGGTCCAATTCCAACCATCTAAAAACAGTGTTTCAAGTTTTGGTAGCAACTTCACCTTTCAAAAACAAATGAATGATATATTCCATGTCCATATCACATACTAGACATAGGCTGGAATGGACATCAATGCCCTTCTCAATCAATTTATTCTGAACCAAAAGGCGATCTAAAGTAAGACGTTGTATAAATATATTCACTTTCGGTAGGACACCATGATTCCATCTCGTGACACTAGTAATCGTGGGTAAGAAAAAATCATCCAAGATAAAGAAAAGGAAATGTACTCGGTTGGCAACTAGCTACTCCAACAAAATGTTCAACATCCACGACATTCAACCCAAACCCAAACAATTTCGACTTACGCAAATTTAACCATAGAGCTAAAACTAAATAGAAACACTGAAGCACTCAAACATCGTTTGTGATGCTGTGAAAATTTCATTCTCCCAGAAAAATATATTCTTCATACAATAAAAACGAGACGACCAAATCTAGCTCCCTCGCATTTTCCCCACGAAACAATTTTTCTTGTATAACATCTAACATTAATCCTTCCATAGCTAGAATAAAAAGAAACATGGAGAGCGGGTCCCATTGGCATAAACTACGACCTATAGAGAACTTTGTAGAGTTTCCATTCACTAAAATAAAAGATCTAGCTGAAGATAAGTATGTATTAATCCAACACCTCTAAGTGTCATTAGAAACCAAAAACTCCATAATTCTATCCAAATATACTTAACAAAAGGAGTCATATAAGCCTTCTCGAAATAAACTTTGAAATTCGTCAAAGTCTTTTTCTTTGTATTGTACCACTTCACTGATTCTTTCAACATGAGGGGACCATCTAACATGAGGCCATAGAGAAGCCATCAAAAACATGGCAACCACACCCAACTATCTTGCTTTGACAAGAGAAATTTAATCAATACAATCTCTCAAAGTAGAATATTGTAAAAGCTCTTCCCCTCTTGTGGGACGTCTTCTAAAGGACAAGAACTTATCAAGTAAGCATAAACGATCATAAACTTTACAATGCTTATCATCATCCAAAGCATACACCCTAGGAAAAAGAGATTTTGGGGATTGATCCCCACACGACACATCATCCTGAAACAAAGTAAAAGCTCCATCGCCAATCTAACGTTTACCCAAGGAAAAAAGATCAATACCTTTTGCGTAGGGATTTTTGGTTTCTTTAAGAATCATAATCCAGGGTCTAAACGCAGATCTAAGGATCATCGACTTGCCAATAGAACCATCGGACCCATAAATGTCCTTAATCACTTTAACCCATAACTCTTTAGGTTTGACCTAAATCTCCCAATCCATTTGAATAGAAGAGATATATTCAAGACAAAAATACTACCAATACCCAAACCATCTAAGTGATATTCTTTCAATTTGGGACCCGGTTATGTTTAAAAAACATAATGTTTAGAGCTTTGAGCATTTTCTAATTGTTGGTAAAGAATGGAGCTTTTCAAATTAGAAGTGTTGTATGATTAATGTGTATGCTACTTAGGAAACGATTAAGAAGAGACAACCTTGGAATGAAATTTTGAACTACATGTATCATTATCCTAGTCTGTTTATAATCTTTAGTGATTTTAATGCAGTTTGTGATCATTCGGAGAAGTTAGGTAATATGTTTTGTGCGACTCCGGTTACCGATTTTAATCATTTTATTATAGAGGGGGATTTGGTGGATGTTCCGTTGGGTGGGTACTCTTTTACTAGAGTGGGTCGTCAAGGAGATAAATTGAACAAATTAGATAGATTTTTGGCTTTAGAAGAGGTGTTGGATAAATTTCCTAATATTTATTCGGAGTCGGTGACGTTGAGTAGTGTGGTTTAAGACTATTGTCCTATTATTTTAAATACATGCATGCACGATTATGGCCCCACTCCCTTCAAAAAATTTAGCTCATGGATATGAAGATGGAAGGCTTTCGAGAAGTAGTAATGGCGAATTGGTATGGGGTGTTTGATATTGAAGAGCTTTGTTTGCAAATTAAATTGAAAAAAATAAAATAAAATTCAAGAGTCTTAAAAAAAATATATATCCAAACTTGGCATGGGGCAATAAAGCATGTGATGCATGGGGCCACAGTCGAAAAATCCAGAAAACTTGAAGAATTGGATATGATTATTGATGTACGGTGGCTTCCCAAGATCAAAAGGATACTAGAATTTTATTAGTTAATTCAATTAAAGAGTATGACCGGATTGCATTTTCTTACGTGTTATAACATTAAAAATTATATGGGGTGCACACTTAATGTAGCTAAAAAAGATATTCTATTAAGAGAAGTAGCTCACACACCCCTACTTCCACTTTTCTTACTTTGATTACCATTAAACTTAACGTCATTAAACCACGACGACGGATGAAGTTTCCTTCTCTTGGACGACATATTTTCAAATTGTACAATTACATAATGGCAACAAAGAACTAGTAAAAATGAACATTGCATAATGGCAACAAAATAACCAAGGGAAAAGATGTAAAAATGACTGCAATGGTCATTATGGTCATAATAACCATTATATTACAGATGACAAAAAAAATAC